CATGGACCATGGAGCCCTCCCCTCCCAGGCACGATCGCGTCGTAAAAAGATCAGGACGGGAGGTTTTTCGCCATTTTCGGCCCCGGGAGGCCCTCGCCGGGCCTCGGGACCGTCAAAACATGATTCACGACGGCAAACTGGTCCAAGGGAATGGGTCGGGACTTCGGGGACGCCGTCTGGAAAAAAAGGACGTCGCATGGCTGGGCTGTCAAGGGCGCGGCCTGCCCCAGAGAGAGCGCGACCTTGCCCTGGCGCAGCCCGCAGCACACGGCTCCCCCACCACCCGCCGGGTGGAGGGCCACTCCAACGGTCTGTGCGTTCGAGCCGTACAGGAAGAAGGTTTGGCCCGGGTGCCGGTACAGCGGCTGGTCCACGGGCAGCAAGCCCAGACTCCCGACGTCGTGATTTTTGCACAACGCCGACCCCCAGAGGTCTGGAACCCTTCCCCGGGACCCGTTTCTCATCACGAGTCGTTTCCTGACGCCCCCGGAGGCGGAAAATGGTGAAACATCTCCCGTCGTTGATCGATGCCACCATAAGTTGGAGGGGGAGGGGGTCCTCCTCCTCCTCCTCCTCCTCCTCCTCCTCCTCCTCCTCCTCCTCCTCCTCCTCCTCCTCCCCCCCTCCAACTTCTGGTGGTGGTGGTAAAAAACAGGTCCAACAGTCGTGCTTTTTTCCACAACGCGAGGGGGTCCAGGAGGCGCAGGATGTCGACGTCGGTGAGCGTCCGCCCGGCTGCGCGCGGCAGGCTGGCGCGCTGGGCGGCCTGGTCTGCGCGCCACCACCACCACCGGCCGACGTCCTGCGGGAGCGGCGCGAGGTCCATGGGCGGCGGCTGTCTACCGAGCACTGGGGGGGACCGAGGGCACTGCGGGCACTGGCGGGTCCAGCAGGCAGCGAGCCGGGCACAGGAGCATCTCCAGACATGATCGCGTCGTGCATGAAAGAGCAGGACGGGAGGTGTGTAGCCATTTCCGGCCCCGGGAGGCCCTCGCCGGGCCTCGGGACCGTCAGGGGCCTCGGAGACGCCGTCCTGAAAAATCAGGACCTCGCAGGTCTGGGCCCCCCTGGGCGCCCGAGGCGCGCCAAGGCGGCAGTGGGCGCTGCGACCGCTGCAACGCCAAGCTGGCCGGGCGCCGCGCGCCGGGCGCGCTCTCGGCGGTCACTGCAGGCGGGCTGCCCGGGCTTGCGGAGGGCGCCGTCGCCGTGCGAGGAGCTCGTCGCCCGCGGGCCCCGGTGCTGCTCTGCGGCCAGGGGTGCGGCGACGGGACTCTGCGCGGAGCCACCGTCGACTACAGCAAGGGCCTCGGCGACCCCGGGGTCCAAGAAGGCGCTCGCGGACCACAGGACGCGGACGACTTCGGCAAAGTCCCCGAGGGCGCCCCCGCGGCCCGAAGAGGGCCGCCGCCGCCGGGGCAGCAGGGGCGGCAGGTCCGGGGCGCAGCGGCGGCCCAGGACCTGCAGTGCGGAGACGGCGCCCGAAGGAGGCACCGCGGGCGCACCAGCACGAGCCTGCACCAATCAGGAGGGGAAACAACACACAGACACAATTCATCGTCGATTCCCCGGAAAATGCAGGAAAAGATGGGAAGTGGGGGGGACGACAAACACCCAGAACATATAGGAAGATATGGGGGATCTTCTTATTTGTGTGTATCTATTTGTGTGTCCTCGGGCCCCTTCAACCCAGACCCCCGACGTAATGATTTTTTCATTACGTCGACCCCCATAGAGGTCCCGACCCTTTCCCCATGACCGGCTTTGCATCCTGAGTCGTTTTTTGACGCTCCCGAGGCCCGGTGAGGGCCTCCAGAGGCCGAAAATGAGGAAAAACCTCCCGTCATGATTTTTTCATTACTCGAGGGGGTCTGGGCAGCCGCTGCACGAGCGGGGCACCCCGCCGCGGCCGCCGCCGACGGGAGGCCCCACGGCGGCCACCACCAGAGGAGCACTGGGCGCGCAGGCGCGCCGTCGTGCACGCCGCGGCCCAACGGCGCACGAGCGGCCCTCGCCGAGCGCGCTCCGCTGCTCTGATGTCGGGCGTGTCCCCCACACAGGGAGATTTTCGAGGACAAATACTCCCCAAAAAATTCGAGGAGATTTTCGAGGAGGTTTTCGAGGAGATTTTCGAGACAAATACTCCCCAAAAATACTCCCCAAATACTCCCCATACAGGGAGATTTCCGAGGAGATTTTCGAGGACAAATGCAAGGAGATTTTCGAGGAGATTTTGGAAAATGCTTCACAAAGGTTTAAACATACTCCCCAGTCCCTGGACTATTTTTGGGACTCTTTTTTGATTATGTCTGGAGCATGTTCTATCTTTCGTCGAAGATCCCCCTGTATAGGGGGGCAGGCCCGACTTAGCACTACTCGCAACGTGCCTGCTTGCAACCGTCCGAGAAACACATGCTCGCCTCCGATGTATAAGGTGGGTCGTAGATGGTGGACGCCTCGCGGCGGAACCGGGCCATTTGCGGATAGCTACTCTGCGAGTGGTGGAGCGCGCTTGTCCCAGTAAGGATGCGTTGCTTCATCCAGGCTGGCCTGGCATCTCCTCTTCTTCTTCTTCTTCTTCGGCCCCTCCTGAGCCGGTGCTGACGTCCGAGGAGCCTTCAAGGTCTTAACGGCATCCTGGAATCCCAAGAGTCTTGCATCGTTCCTGTGTGTCCTTAATATGGGGCCTGCCTGCGAGTAGTGGGGCGCGCGTGTCTAAGCCCACAAGCCGCCCGTCAGCTGGGGAGCACCCTAGCGGGAGGTGACGGTTCGCTGCCGCCGCGTCGCTGGCGGCTTTGTGCCCCCACCGTGGGGGGGCGCCAGCTCGTTTCAGCCACGCGCAGGACTGCTGGGTGGGAGGAGGAGGAAGAGGAGGAGGAGGAGGAGGAGGAGGAGGAGGAGGAGGAGGAGGAGGAGGAGGAGGAGGGGGAGAGGGAGGGGGAGAGGGAACAGGAAGAGGAAGAGGAATAATGGTAAGAAGAAGACGAAGAAGGACACTTAGAAAAGATACTGGTAATAATAAAAAACACGAATATAACAAAAAAAAAAAACAGAAGAAGAAGCGGAGGAGGAGGAGGGAGGAGGAAGGAGAGAGGAGGGAGGAGGGTTGAGGGAGAAGGGAGGAGGAGGAGAAGGAGGAGGAGGATGAGGAGGAGGAGGAGGAAAAGGAGGAGGCGGAGGAGGAGGAGGAGTTGGAGGAAGAGGAGGAAGAAGAGGAGGAAGAAGAGGAGGAGGAGGGCCAGTGTAAACAAAATAGTTATCAACGATGTTGGGTTTATTTCCATTGATGGAACTGCCTCGTTGGAAGACACCCGTTTGAAGACCCTGAAGCATGCCAAAACATTCGTCTCGGAATTCCAACGCCACGGATCATGTTGAATATAACGTCTTGACGATCCTGAAACGTGTTGGAATGCCATTTTTAGGACTTCAGCACAGAGACTCAACGTAACTGTTGCACCTGGATAGTCCTGAACCCTTCCCAAACACCATGTCTGGTACGTTGATGATGGGAATCCGTGAAGGTCTTGCATTTTTGAAAACGAATGTGCGTGGCGCTTAGACAAGGACCACATTTTGAAAAGGAGCCGCCCTCAATTCGTGAAGCTCCTGGAATTTGTCAAAACGAATGTGCGTGGCGCTGAGGCGAGAGCCACATTTTGGAAAGCACTCGCCCTCAATCTGTGAAACTCTTGCAACGTTTGAAAACGAATGTGCGCTGCGCGCAGTCGAGAGCCACATTTTGAAAACGGCCCGCCCTCAGTCCGCCCTCAGTCCGTGCGCTGCGCTACGGCGAGAGCCACATTCTGAAACCGAATCGCCTTCAATCCGCGAAACCCTTGCACATGTTAAACACGACTGTGCGCCGCGCCTAGGCGAGAGCCACATTTTGGAAACGACCCGCTCTTCCTCTGTGAATCGGTTGTTAATTTTAAGCTTCAGAGTCATACATGGTGAGGAAGGCTAAGGCGAAACGCCCTGCCCGCCCTAAAACTGGCCTCGGAGTGCGAATAAGGAGAAGGAATGAAGGGAGGAGGGAGGAGAAGGAGGAGGAGGAGGAGGAGGACCAGTGCAAACCCAAGAGCCACCAACGATGTTGAATGAATCCTCCCCCCAAGCTCCCTTGTCGCAGGCACCTACAACTGTTCATTTCCACTAATGGAATTGCCTAGTTGGAAGACGCCCCTTTGAAGACCCTGAAGCACGCTAAAACATTTTTCTCGGGATTCCAACGCCACCGATCAAGTTGAGTATAGCGTCTTGGCGATCCTGAATCGTGCTCGAACGCCATTCAACATCGCGAATCATCGTAACTGTTGCACCCTCATAAAATCGTGAACCCTTCCAGAACACCATGTCTGGTACGTCGATCTTGGGAATCCGTGAAACTACTGCATGATTGCAAACGAATGTGCGCGGCACGAAGGCGAGAGCCACATTTGGAAAACGACACGCCCTCAATTCCTGAAGTCCTTGCAGAGTTTGAAAAAACGAATGTGCGCGGCGCTAAGGCGAGAGCCACAATTTGGAAAACGACGCGCCCTCAATTCGTGAAACTCCTGCAAAGTTTGAAAACGACTGTGCGCGGCGCTCATGCGAGAGCCATATTTGGAAAACGACGCGCCCTCAATCCGTGAAGCTCTGGCTAATCTTGAAGACGAACGTGTGCGGCGTTGAGGCTAGGGGTCGCAGGGCCCAGGGGGCTGCAGGGAATGCCAGGAGGGCCAAGGAGGCCGCAGGGAATGCCGGGAGGCCCCCGGAGGCACCCTGCAAAAGTCCCCTCCTGCTCCACGGCCTCCGTGCTCCGCGTTCCTCGACGGGCCCCGAAGAGCCCGAGGAAGAAGAGGCACCGATACCCGTGCCCTCTCGCCTCGCTCTCCCCGTTGTTGGGGGGGCTTCTGGGCGGCCCTCGTCGCCACCGCTGGGTTCGCCTCGAAATATCCTGGTCCGAAAACACACAGACACAATTTATCCTCGATTCCAAGGAAAATATAGGAAAATATGGGGAATCCTGTTATTTGTGTATTTATTTGTGTGTCCCAGGGCCCCTTCAATACCCTCCGTAGCCATTTTGGCTCAAGCCGGCTGGCCCAGGCGCGCGCGGCATGCCCACCTCCGCTGCCGGCCCGCGCGCGGGCGCCGGGCGGCGCCGCCGCCGGCCTACCGGCAGGTTCGCCTATTATGTGTCGCGCAGGGCGGCGGTCCGCAGGGATTGGCGGATGCTCCGGAGGGCGCCCGCGCGTTGGAGAGAGGACAAGGCTCTCGTGCTTGCGGCCGTCCGGCAGAATGGCATGGCCCTCCGGTTCGCCAAGGGATCGCCGCTCTCCGACCGGGGCCTGGTCGAGGAAGCGGTGCGGAGCAACTGGCGTGCCCTGCGTCATGCTGCGAAGGAGCTGCGGGAGGACGAGGCACTTGTGCGGGGCATTGTGGAGCAGGAGGCCGATGCGATCCAGCTGGCGCCGGAGCGCTTGAGACGCGACCGCGAGTTCGCCCTCCGAGCTGTGGAGAGGAACTGGGAGGTGCTCGAATTCCTCCCCCGCGAGCTCCGGGCAGACCGTGGCGTGGTCCTCGCCGCGGTGGGGCAGGACGGCCAGGCGCTCAAGTTTGCAGCGGCCGCACTGCGCGCAGATCGGGGCGTGGTGCTGGAGGCGGTGAGGCGCAGCGGCGACGCCCTGGAGTTTGCTTGCGGGGACCTGTGCGCAGACCGCGTGCTGGTGATGGAGGCGGTGCGGCGCAGCTGGCGCGCGCTGGAGTTCGCCTCTGAGGCGCTCCGGTGCGACGCCGAGGTCGTCGGGACGGCCTTGCGACAGAGCTCTCAGGCGCTCAACTTCGTCGGGGCTGCTCTCCAGGACGATCCGGCGATGGCCGCGAAGGTGTTCGCTGGAGGCGCCGCGGCACCCGGCGGGCCGGCCGCGGCTGGCGGCGCGGCCGCCAGTGCCGCCGATGGGGCGGGGGCCGCCATCGGTGCGGCGGAGCAGGAGGCATTCGCGGCGGGGCGCGGAGGCGGAGCCGCCGCGGCGCCGGGCCACCCGGCGCGCACGGTGGGCGCCGCGGCTCCAGGGGCTGGGCGGGGCGGCTCCGCGGTGTGGATCGCCAGGGCCGCGAGAGGTCCCGTGAGATTCCCGGCGGCGGGGCGGGCGACCCTGACGCAGTGGGCCGGGGCGCACCTGTACAGATATTGAGAGCCGAGACCGGAGGAAAAAAAAGGCCCCTTCAATACCCCGGGGAGGGGTCGAGCAGCCGTGAGTATCGGTACCTTCAGGTGGCCCCTCACGATGAGGCGATGGGGGGGCGCCAGCTCGCGTCAGCCGCTCGCGGGGGGGGAGGATGAGGGAGGGAGGAGGGAGGAGGACGGAGGGAGGAGGGAGGAGGGAGGAGGGAGGAGGAGGAGGGAGGAGAGGGAGGGAGGGAGGGAGGGGGGGGGAGGGGGGAGGGAGGGAGGGAGGGAGGGAGGATGAGATGAGGAGGAGGAGGAGGAGGAGGAGGAGAGGGAGGAGGAGGAGGAGGAGGAGGAGGAGGAGGAGGAGGAGGAGGAGGAGGAGGAGGAGGGCTGGGGGATAGGGGGAGGGGGGACGGCTGCCTAGGTGCACCCCCTGCTCCTCAGAGCGAGCGGGCCTGAGCTGCAGATGCGAGGCCCGCGCCTGCTGAGAAGCAGCCTCCTTCGAAGTAGCCCTGCCATTCCCAGCCCCTGCCCCCTCATGCGCGCCGCCGATCGGTCAGGAAGGCGGCGAAGTCCGGCGTGTCGGCGCCGGCACCACCACCTGCGTGGCTGGCTGGCGGGCGGCGGCCGTGGCGGACACGATAGGCATCTGAGAGAGGCCTGGAAGCGTATCCGCAGCGGGGTCCACCTGCGCAGCCAACACCGTTGGAGAACGCATGATCCGCCCCGGCACCGACAACCGGCACGGCATCGCCGAGCTGCTGTTCTTGTAGGGTCTGGCGATAGCCCGGGGTCATCGGGCGTGCCTCCCCCCCCGTCCCCGGGAGGACCCAGCCTTGCCGGTGGTGTAGGTCCGGGGCGGGGGTGGGCGCGGGCACATGCAGGGCCGCCCACAACGCGAAGGTTGAGGAGCGAACAACTCACACCCATACCCATAGGAGGGTCGAAAGGAGGGGAACTGGCTATGGGTATGGGTGCGAGTTGTCGGACCCTGGGGGAAGCTCCCGTTCGAGCGGGGACCCCCATCCGACAACACGCACCCATAGCCTCCTCCGTCCCCCCTAAGGGTGTGGGTGCGTGTTGTTCGATCGTCAAAGGTTGGGTCATCGGCCAGCTCCCTCCTCCCCCCCTTCCCTGGGATAACCCGGGTTCTCGCCGACTCAACAAAAAAAACGGCCGCCAAGCTGCCGGGCCTGGCCCCGCCAGGGCCCGCCGAGGGCGGCGGCGGCGCGAAGCACCGGGGAGCAGTGGGAGAGGTAGCCTCGAGAGCGGCTGGGCTCGCCGAGCGGCCGCAGCTGGCTGCTCCGCGCGAGCCACGGGCGCGGCACGCTCCGAAGCTTAAGTCAAGCCTGTCCCTCTACAGGGGGGACAATTCCAAGATAGTCAAAAGAATCGTCTGGGCCCGATTCCTGGAGCATTTCTTTTTGCACTTTGGGAATATTTTTTGATAATTTTTTGAATTTTTCGACCAACGTCCCCTGTAGGGGGACAGGCCCGATTTAACCCAAAGCCGACAACGCTGCCCGCGCCGCGCGGGCCACCCCCCGTACACGTCGTTGTTTGCCTGGCTGGTGGCGGCAGCGCCCGGCCACCGCCTTCGGCCACAGCTGGTGCAGGCGCCGACCGGCCCGCGGCTCCTCGCGGGGGCAGGGCGCGAGCTGCTCGCTGGTCCGCGTGGCGTCTCGGCGCGGCGGCGCACGGTCCCGAAGTGGTATGGCCCAGGGGGAGCGGGAGCGGCAGCACGGGCACCACGGTGCGCAGAAGTTGCCCAGGAGGCCACAGCTTGACGTCGTCGTCCTCGCCCTTCCCCCCCCCCGTCCTGCTCCTCTTCGCCCTCGTCCTGTCTTCGTCCTTATCCTCCTCGCCCTCGTCCTCCACCTCCTCCTCCCCTTCCTCCTCCGTTCGTCCGTTCCTTCTACTCCTCCTCCGCTCTCCTCCTCCTCCTCCTCCTGCGCCCTCCTCCTCCCCCTCATGCTCCGTTCTTTCGTTCCCTCTCTCTCCGCTTCCCTCTCCTCCTTCGCCACGGAACGACCAGGTTTTATGGAACCGAGCCTCGGGGCCCTCCACGGGCCCCGGGACCGTCCAAACAACACTCTGGGTGACAAGCGGATTCCGGGGGAAAGCCCGGGGGTCCAGGATCCGCTTCCCTCCGTTCCCGCGTGCTTCATGTCAATCTTCTCCTTCCTCCTCACCCCCGCCCGGCCCACCTTTGGGGCCAGCGGGGGTGCCTTCCTCCAGCCTAGTGATCGTTTTTTCATTCATTGTTTTGCCGATCGGCGCGGGCCCGCGCCCCTCCCTCCTCCCCCCATGGAGTGGATGTTGGCTGTTTTGGGCGCTTGTTTCAGGTAAGTGGACTCTCTCCCCAGTGGGACGCACTGTTGCAAAGAGCAGCAGTAAGCAGAGGTCCAGAGCCAGAACCCCCCCCATCCCCCTCCTTCCGCCCAATGTCGAAACGCCGAATAAGAAGATGCTCACCCCATGAGGGCCCCCCCAGAGTTTCTCAGGCCTCCCATGGAAAAGTTCCCACGCTGCGTGCCTTCGGGCCCCTTCGGAGCCATCCAGTTGTGCTTTCCTCTCGGTCTGATGTTCGAGGCCCCAGCGTTTTTTGTTGTGGGTCTTGGTTGTTGGTCCTCCCACGTCTTTTCCTCCCCTTCTTTCACTTCTTACTCCGACTTCCTTTCTCCTCGTCCTTCAGCTTCCTATCTCCTCGTCCTTTCCTCCCTCCCCATCGTCCTGTTGTCTCCTCTTCTCCTTCCCCCCCTCGGAGAGGAGGACAACGAGGAGAAGCCAGGAGGAGGATCCTCATCCTCCTCCCCTTCTTCCTGCACGCCATCCTCCACCTCCCCTCCTCCTCCTCCTCCTCCTCCTCCTCCTCCTCCTCCTCCTCCTCCTGCTCCTCATTATCCTCCTCCCCCCCTCCTCCTTGCGATCCTCGATCCTCGACGATGGAGGTTTTGGGATGGTTTTGGTTCCTCCCTGGGCTCTGCAGACGTGCAGAAGTCCCCCCCAACAAAACAGCTTTACATAATCCCTCAGACCTCCAGAAAGAAGAAGGGAAGGAGTAGGAGGAAGCGGATAAGGAGGAGGTGGAGGAAGTGGGACTTGGAGGTGGAGGGATGGTGATGACGACGACAATGGTGGTGCTGCTGCTGCCGCTGCCTCTGCTGCTGCTGCCGCTGATGATAATGTTGATGAGGATGATGATGCTGATGATGATGATGATGATGATGGTGGTGATGATGATGATGATGCTGGTGATGCTGATGAGGATGATGGTGGTGAGGATGATGATGGTGAGGCTGACGATGTTGATGATGGTGATGATGATGGTGATGGTGCTGATTACACGTATGATGATGCTGATGATGATGGTGCTGATCATGTTGATGCTGATGCTGCTGCTGATGATGTTGTGGTGCATGTGGATGGGCAGGTGAATGTGGATGTGCATATGGATGTGGATGTGGATGGTGATGATAATGATGATGAGGAGGAGGAGGAGGAGGAGGAGGAGGAGGACGGAGCGGAGACGACGGAGGAGGGATCTCCGAGGGCGGAGAATCCGGATTGGACGAGGAGGAGGGGAGCAGCATAGGACACCACGAGCGAGGAACGAAGAGGAACCCCGCCGCCGACGACGCCGACGGCGCCGCGCAGAGGCTCCGCCTCGCGGTGCGGAGCCCCGCTACAGTGACCACCGGCCAGGCGGCGGCGTGGCCTCGCCGCCCCTCTCTTTCGCGCGCCCCCCCCCCTCCCGATACCTCCCCTTTCTCTGGCCGTCGAGGCACGCCCTGGCGTGCCTATAGGGCCACGAAAGAGTGTTCCAATAACCTCTTGTGGTCTGCACGAAATGTTTTTGGAACGTTTCTGGCTGAGACCCTCTTGTTTGAACACGTCGTACTTATGTTATAATGACGTTGTTTGTGTTATTAAAACATGTCTGGGTTCTAAGACCATGTCGTCGTAGGCCTACAGGAATGCCGGGACGGTCGTTCCCTGCTCAAAGCCGCCGCGTCTGCTGCCCCAGGTCACCCCCACTCGAGCGGTGGTAGGACAGGTCGGGCGGGTGGTAGTGTCTTGGCATCGCTCGGACATGTGCATTATGTTTTCGGCGAGGACCCTCGAGGAGCAGATTTGGCTCATCTAGCCAAAAAAGAGCATGAAGTCGAAACATGCACGGTGCGAGAAAGTCAGGGCGATGGCGAGATGGGGGGTGATCTAAATGGGGGATGAAGAAAGGGCCCCTAAGGGGGGCACTTGCTGGCCCCTTTGGAAGCCAGCAGGGGCCCTGAAGTGCCCCTTGAGGGCCCATTTCTCCACCCCCCATTGAGGTTACCCCCCAGTGCAACCCGCCCGAACAGGGATACATTGTTCCAGGAGAGTGTTTTTGTTACCCTCAGGGCCATAACGCGCGTTATGCCCCCTACCCTCCCCCCTATCACGTAACGCTCGCGCCTTCTCAGAACCAGCCTTCTGAGAAGCCTCCCCCCCTCCCTCTACCCCCCTTCTGCGGGCAGCCAACGTCCACCACTCTCGTCCTCATCCTTTTCCACCTCTACCTGAGCTCCTCGCCCCATCTAGTCCTTTCTGCTTACCCTCACTCGCCTCTTCCTTTCTTGGGCACTCTATAAGGCGAACGAGTGCACCAGTAGCGTCATCCGCGTCCTCCTTCGCCTCCTCCTCACTCAGTATCATTAACTTACCTGTCGTCGTCTATTCCTTCGCATTGGCATCGGTGCCGTCGAAGGCGTTGTTGCCATCACGCTGTGTTGCCTTTGGAGGTGGAGAAGTACGCATGGAGCACGGACATCTCCATTTGACACATCCCTCTTTCCTGAAAGTGTTAGTATTTTGTCCCGTGTGATGCTGCGTTGTCGATCCGTAAAATTTTACCCGCGGACAACTGGTGATGACGTGGAGAGTGGTGATGCCAGTGCAGTTGTGAATCGCATGATTGTAACACTTATCAGAACCATAGGCTGTGGATACCCATAGACACATGGTGATGCCGTGGAGAGTGGTGATGCCGATGCAGTCGTGAATTGCATGGTTGTCGAAATTCTCAGCAGCATAGACAGGGGAGGTGGTGGAAGGGATGGTGATGCTGGGTGCGAGGGGGGGCGAGGCGGGGCAGGAGGGCGAGGCGGAAGAGAAGCCTCGATAGGCCCCCCCCAGCATGGTGAAGACACCTTGAGGGTCGAGGATCGAGGATCGACAGGAGGAGCAGCAGCAGCAGCAGCAGCAGCAGAATGCCACATGCCCAATGCTCAGCATGACTGTGCAAGGTGACGTTTTGGCTCACCAGCTTGAATCGAGGGTCCTGTCTGGGCAGCTCAAACATCAGCGGCATGAGATGTCTCATCGTGCCCCTGCCCGCGCCCCCGCCCCCCGACGAGAGAGCCCTCTGGTAAGGGGAGGCGGAGGATGGGAGGGCAAGAAGGAGGTGCCGGAGCAGGAGGAGGAGGAGCGGCAGTGCGGCCAGGAACGTTTGTTGGGCGCCGCGTAATGGGGGGGGTCATAAATGGGGGGGTGGCGAGGGTGGTTCGAAAAGGTACCCGAACGGTACCTAAACGAGCCCCCTGGGGCTTTGGAGGGGCCCGAAAGGGGCACGAAAGGGGACCTTTTCTGATCCCCCCGTTTATGACCCCCCCATTAAGTCCCGCCCGAGTTTGCTCAGCGTGTCGCTCCGCCGCTTCTGGCTCACAGCGCTTCCGCGCGACACGCCCACTACTTCGGATGCCGCTCCTGGGAGGTCAAGTTCAGATTCTGCCCCGGTCGGAGATCCGGCATACTCCGGCTGAGTCCCGCTTACTCCCGCTCAATCCGGCTGAATCCCGCTTAATCCGAGGCCCACTCCGGCGTAACAGCCCCCCAAATGGGGCTCAATCCTCCTGAATCCTTCTGGCGAAGACATCCCAGTAGTTGCCTCCTGACAGTACGCCCCGGTCCCCAGGCGTCCACCTCGCCCGAGCTTTCCCCAGCCGCCTGCCAGGGGCGGAGCGGAGCGGCACCCCACGCGCCTGCTGAACACACAGTGTGTCGCCGCGGCCGCCGCCGCGACACGCTGAGCCGAGGTTCCCGACCGTACGTTTGTGGGAGACGATCTATGGAGGGGGGGGGCATGCTGTCAAGTAATGTCTAGGCATCCACAATATACATACACATATATATATATATATATATATATTCACATATAAGTATATAAATACATATGTATATATACATATATTTTCATATGCTCTAACCATGCAAAAAATATTTAACACACACTTTCAACAGTTTTGAAACATGAAGAACTCATCTCAAATCCAATGCTAGGGCTGTTCGAGTGTCCACTGTCACGGAATCCACAACCGTAAGTAACACGGAACAACGACAGCTCATCGCTATGGCGCCGCCGAGGAGACTCCGCGGCGAGCGAGGGGGGGGGGAACGAGCAGGAGAAGCCCCCTGTGCCTGCTGAGTGGTTCGTTCCTCGTCCTCGGGGAGGGCTCAGCACACTTCTGGGAAGGCCGGGGGGGCTTCCGGGCCTTCCGAGTGCGGGCAATAGTTATATCCACATCCAGTGCGTCCTGGATTCTTGGGCTCTCTTCCGCAGAAACCGTAGGCGCACTGGATATGGATAAACATCTGGTCCCAACAGGCTTGATTTTATCCATATCCAGTGCGCCTCGGCGTTGCGGCACCTCTTCCCAAACAGTCCACGACGCTCTGGATATGGATATAAGTCCTGCCCGCATCTGAGAAGGCCTTCTCCTTCTCACTCCCCCCCCCGCTCGCCGCCAGAGAGAGAGAGAGAGAGACCGCCCTCCGAGGGGGAGACCGGCACCTGGACCATGATCTACGACGAGGGCTTCGAGGTGGCGGTCGGCGGCAAGGCCGCAGATGCGGGGGCAGTCTCCACCGCATCCTCCCCGATCCCCCCGCTGTCCTCGATGCCCTCCCCGCCTGGATCCTCCTCCTCCCTCTTACTCCTCCTCCTCCTCCTCCTCCTCCTCCGCCTCCTCCTCCTCCTCCTCCTCCTCCATCTCCTCCTCCCTCCTCCTCCTCCTCTTCCTTCTCCTCCTCCTCCTCCTCCTCCTCCTCCTCCTCCATCCTCCATCCTCCTCGATCCTTCTCCTCGGTCATCCTTCTCTCGGCCGTCCTCTCCATCCTCCGCTCGAGCCCCCCCTCGATCCTCCTTTCGATTCCCGCGATCCCTCTCCTCGATGCTCCTCCTCGCCGTCTGGATGGGGGAGCTACGGGAGGAGGAGGATGAGGAGCAGGATAACGATTTCTGATCTCGCTCGTCCTTTGCGCTTTGGGGGCATCCTCCTCCTGCCTCTCCCTCGACTGGGCGGTGCGGACCGAATCCACGACGGCAGGTGCTGGCTTCGACTTCGGCCTCCTGGGGGACCTCTCTTGGGACCCTGGGTGCCGCGTGAGAGCACGGCCCCGCGACAGAGAGAACTGAGGTCTTCGAATCAGAGAAACGGCACAAGCATGAATTGTCGGAGGCATGGGCGGATTTCTTGGATCTCACCAGCGCCGCCCTTGGCGTGCTCCGTGCGCCAGTGGGGTCAGCTTCGAACCAAGAATTCCGCGAGGATCTCCGACAGGTCATGCTTATGCAGTTTTTTGTTCCTCTGGGCATGGGATCGAGAATTCCAGGGTCTCGCGTCGCGCCAGCTGGTGGATCCCTGGCTCAGCCTATGTTAAGATGCCTTCTGCTTGCCCCTGTCTTTCTCCTCCTCCTGCTTCTGCTGCTTGGCTGGTCCTTTTGGGGCCTTCCTGGGGCCCACCTGACGAACCTGTTCGGCGACAGTTCAAATCCACACATACACATACATATATATATATATAATTCATTTACATATACATATATATACACATCGTCACATGGTTCGACTCATAATTCGACCATAGCTCGACCAAAGCTCGACTCAAAATTCGACTCATGTCGAGGAACGTTCGACGCAGCATCGATGCATGAGTGGATCGAGCGGATCCAGGACGGTTCAAGGGCGCTCTGGAACCGCCGCGGCGACCGATGCACCCTCCAGAACCGCCAGATCTCAGAGATCCCCGGTTTGCTGTGGTCCGATCTGGTCCCTCGCCCTGGGTCTCGTGGTGTAGACGCTTCCGCTTGCCGCAGCCCCCGCTTACCACGGCTTGGGAGGCTGGGGCGTCTGCACGCCGAGCTCCGCGGTCGGCCGGGCGCACTCCGCGCCCCTCCACGGGCCGAGGAGGCGAGGCTCTGCCGAGTGTTCGCTCTGCGCGCGGGGTGCCTGGTTGATCCAGGTCTGCCCAGGTCCGCCGCGTGGTCGTCCCTCCGCCACGGTGAGGCCCAGACCTCCTCGCGCTGTGAGAAGTCACGACGGGAGGTCTTTCGCAATGTTCGGCCTCCACGGGGGGCCCTCCTCCTCCTCAACCTCCTCCTCCATCTCCTCCTGCTCCTCCTCCCCCTCCTCCTCCTCCTCCTACTCCTCCTCCTCCTCCTCCTCCACCTCCTTTTCCTCCTCCTCCTCCTCCTCCTCCTCCTCCTCCTCCTCCTCCTCCTCTCCTCCTCCTCCTCCTCCCCCTCCTCTCCTCCTCCTCCTCCTCCTCCTCCCTCCCTCTCCTCCTCCTCCTCCTCCTCCTCCTCCTCCTCCTCCTCCTCCTCCTCCTCCTCCTCCTCCTCCTCCTCCTCCTCCTCCTCCTCCTCCTCCTCCTCGCGCGAGGCGCGGCCCCACCGACGCCCCTCGGGGCCGTCGTCGGGCGTCCGTGGAAAGATCACGGTGGCAGCTAAGTGCCCAGACACGATCGCGTCGTAACATAAAAGTCAGGGCGAAGGTTTTTCGCTGTATGCGGCCCCAGGGGGCCCTCGCCGGGCCCTGGGACCGTCAAAAAACGACTCAGGATGACAAACCGGCCCCTGGGAAAGGTTCGGGACTTTCGGGGACGCCGTCGTGAAAAAATCAGGACGGTGGCAGCTGTGTGTGTGTGTGTGTGTGTGTGTGTGTGTGTGTCGAGGCCTCCTAGATTGGGATGGAGTAGATGGGGTCGGAGGATCGCGCCGCATCGCCGATGCATCGCCGATGCGGCTCGATGTGGGGCCCGATTTGCTTCACGTCGACGTCGTCGATGCAACGCCGACGTCGACGACAAATCGGCGGTGCATCACCAATGCATCGCCGATACATCGCCGATGTATCGGCGATGCGGCGCGATCCTCCGACCCCATCTACTCCGTGCCCATCCAGGGGGCCTCTCATGTGGCACGAACTGGAGCGTGCCTTCTTTGTTTAAGAGAGGCATGTTTACCCTGATTGCCCTTGTCTTCGCTTTTCTCTTTTGCACGCCGGACACTTTGCCCCTATCGCCTATCGGTTGCCCCGATTGGCCCCTCGCTGGTGCGGATTGCGTCTGCCGCGCCGCCGACGAAACAAGTTGTTATACCCTCTTGGCCATAACGCGCTTTACGCTCCCTACCTCCTCCCGCCCCTCCCCCCGCACCAGAACGTAGCGCCCCACCCCCCCCCACCCCCCCCCTGGTGCGTCCCCGGCACTGCCACAGTGCGGCCGACACCACAGTCTGGAAGGGGGAGGGGCGCTACGTTTAAGTCGGACTTCCCTCTACACGAGGAATATTCAACAATTGTCAAAAAATAATACGGGGACATTTTTTTGATTATATTTTTTTATTTTTCTTCCAAAATCCGCCTGTAGGGGGATTTGCCCGACCTAACGCTACGTGGTGCTTCCTCGGGGTTCCCCCCCCCCCTCCCGCCCCGATAACGCCCGCTGTGGCCCCCCTATGACGCCCTGTTGTGGTGCCCGTGCGACGGCCTCATCCCGAGCATCTCCGACGCCACGGTTTCGAGGGCCGCGCCGCCCCTCGCGAGGGGGTCCCGCTCTGGCGGAGCTGCGCGCTTCGCTCCGCTCCGCCCTTCTCCTCCGCAGGCGCGCCCATCGACGCTTCGGTGCGGGCCACCGCGCTGCCCTCTCTCCCGCCTCGGTTCTGCCGCTCGCCCGGGGCAACACTTGTCGCGGATGGCTCCCTCTGCTGGCTTGTGTCTGTAGCGGGGGGGGCAGGACTTGTCCGTCCCGGCCGGCTCCTGCACGCGCACAGCGGTATGGTGGGACCTTCGGCGCTTCGTGGAGTTTCTCCGCTCCTCCCTCCCCCTCGACAATAAAGAGCAGGCGAGTCCGTCGACGGTGTGCCGGAGCCTTCGTCGCGGCTGAGCGCGCGCAGGTGCAGCGTGTGTCAACGGGCGGAGGACGGCATAACATCAACTCTTTCGCTGTCGGGGGACGCCTGTCCCAGGGCGGCTGGAGAGTTCATGCCCTCCCGCTGGCACCGCAGGGGCATAAACTTTCCAGCCGCCCTGGGGGGCAGGCGTCCCCGACGGCGGACCGGTCTATGTCCTGCCGTGCGCCGCCCGCCGAGTGAGTTGCGCCTGGAGCACCGGCTGGGCTGCGCCGCGCCAGTCTCGACCGCCAGCCGCAGTGGACCATCCCGGGTGAGGTGGGAGAAGGGCCTCGGCGCCTTCCCCGCAGAGTCCCGACGTCGTGCTTGGCTTCAGTGCCTCAGCCTTGCGTCAGCATCCGCCTCCGGAGGCACCTCTGGGCCACGGGGCCGTCCAGGGTTGCTCGGGGCGACGGGCTGATCCTGGGAAAGCGGCCGAGAGTTCCGAGGACCCCCCTGCTGAGCAGAGGCACGATGGTGGGCGCTCCGAACATCGACGGTGCGGATGCCGGGGGGGGGGGTGGCAGTCGTTGCGGTCGGGGTCTCGGCTCCGTGCGGGCGCCTGTGTGCTTCATCGCGCGTTCTGTTCACCCTCGCGCTCTCACGCTCCTCCTCTTCCGTGCCATCCTTCCCTCATGCTGCGGCCCCTCCGCGTCGGCACCTGCCATGGCTACCGACAAGATTGCGCCGACGCAGCCGGGGAGGTGCGAGGCGTCGCGTGGGCGACAGCACACAGAGTCGCAAGTGTCCTGCTGCCGCCGCTCCCGCCGCCGTTGCGGGCCCCCTCCCCTCGTGACCCCGCCGCTCTGCGAGCTCCCCTGCCTCTCCCCCTCCTCCTCCTCCTCCTCCTCCTCCTCCTCCTCCTCCTCCTCCTCCTCCTCCTCCTCCTCCTCCTCCTCCTCCTCCTCCTCCTCCTCCTCCTCCCCCCCTGGGGCCCGACTGTTCTCTGCGAGTGTCTCTGCCTGGCGAAGGTGTTCTTCGCCTTCTCGAAGTTCGAGATGGTCGCGGACGGGCAAGGTGGCGGGCAGAGCAGCGAGCGCCCGCAGCCGCGCTGCTGTCTTGCGCCAGCGCCGCGGCCTCCTCCTCCTCCTCCTCCTCCTCCTCCTCCTCCTCCTCCTCCGCCTCCGCCTCCTCCTCCTCCTCCCCCCGTTCTCCCTCCTTCCTCCTCCACTCCTCCTCCTCCTCCTCCTCCTCCTCTCCTCCTCCTCCTCCTCCTCCTCCTCCTCCTCCCTCCCTCCCTCCTCCCCCCTCCCCCTCCTCCTCCTCCTCCTCCTCCTCCTCCTCCTCCTCCTCCTCCTCCTCCTCCACCTGTCTCCTTCGATGGCCACTGCCCCGAACTGCCCCCGAGCCTCGAGAGTCGCGGCGGGAACGCTGAACCATGCCGGCCCCGATCGACGTCGTGCCCCTGCGTGCCTTTTCGGGCGCTCTGCTGCGTGTCCACCAGGCCTCGCCAGACGTTCTGCCCATCCTCCCACCACCTCCTCTCAGCATCGTCTAACCCATCCCCATCACCACTGGGCCACGGTATCTCAGCCCCGCCAGCTCACCCTGCTTGGTTGGGATAAAAAGCCTGGCGAAGCCCGAAGGAGCAGGCATATATGGTCCCGGGCTCCGGGCCCACGGGCCCCCCCCCCCAGATGGTACGGTCCCAGGATTCCTCGGGCCCCCCCCCCCCAGATGGTATGGTCCCAAAGACGACGACGACGACGACGAAGACGACGACGACGAAGACGACGACGACGACGATGGCGACGACTACGACGACGGCGACGACGACGACGACGACCACGATGACGACGACGACGACGGCTGCGGCGGCGACGACGCCGGCGGCGGCGGCGGCGACGACGACGACGACGATGGCGACGACTACGACGACGGCGACGACGACGACGACGACCACGATGACGACGACGACGACGACGGCTGCGGCGGCAACGACGCCAGCGGCGGCGGCGACGACGACGACGACGATGACGACGATGACGACGGCGACGACGACGACGACGACGGCGAGGACGACGAGGACGACGACGACGACGACGACGACGAGCTTTTGAACCACAACAGCACCACACCACATACACAGGGGGGGGGGCACCGCAGCGCAGCACCACGCCACGCCCACAGGGGGGGGCGGGGGGGCCATCGCGCGGGGGGGGGGCCCAATGACATCAGCATGGGATGGGGGGTGTCGGGGTGGGGTGGTGGGCCCAGTCCTGGACCATGTATGATCGCGGCTCAGGTCCTCGGGCCTCCCCCCCCCCAGATGGTATGGGTCCCAGGGTCCTCGCCCCCCCCCCCGCCCCAGATTGGATGGGGGGGGGAGGAGGTGGTGGAGGAGGAGGAGGAGGAGGTGGAGGAGGACGACGACGACGACGACGGTAATGACGACGACGACGACGACGACGACGACGACGACGACGACGACGACGACGACGACGACGACGACGACACCGACAACAACGACGACGACAACCACGAGGACGAAAACGACGACGACGCCGACGGCAACACCATTGGCGGCGGCGACGACGTCGAGCACCAGGGCTGGCAACATGACGCCAATCCCAGCCACACGCCGCACCCGCACCGCACCCACAGAGGGGAGGGAGGGGGGGAGGAGGACCATGGCGTCACCCCGCAAACACCCACAGCAACACACCACATCCACACCACATCCACAGGGGGGGGGGGAGCCACCACGCCACGCCCACGCCCACAGGGGGGGTGGCATCGCCCGGGGGGGAGGGGGCTGGATGGCAGTAGCATTTGGGGGGGGGGGGGGGGGGGGGAAACCCTCGATCATTATCCCCACCTAGGCGGGTCCGTAGCCATTTTGGCTCAAGTGGCCATATATCGAGGCAGCTGGCCAGGTCAGCTCGGGCCTGTCTTCAGGTTCGGCCCTCGACGCAAGGGCTTGGGGGCAGGCCCTGTTGGCACAACCTCATCCAGTCTCACTTTCGCACGTTGTGAGTTCACAGTCACCCGCGCAGCCATGGGAGATGCCGCGCCTGAGTGGTTCTCGGCCTTCGTCACAGGACAGTTCGCTGCATTGACGAAGACGGTCACAGACACGCGCAGCCAGCTGACGGGCTAGATCAAACAACTGGACGGCCGGATGGCTGCACTTGACACCAAAGTACAGCAGATGGAGGTACGTTTCCAGGCTTCAGAAGAAGCTATGAAGACAGCATCAGTGACAGCCTCCAGCACGCTTGGCACAGACAGGACGAAGCGGGCTAGGGTGGGTAGGCTACCAGCGATTCATGTAGAATGTGGGTGGGTGGATATCCAAGCGATGTTCTTGCTGCCACGAGACAGATGACCTGGCACCAGCTCCAGCAAGGAGCACCGAGCCACCTCATGGACGGCACCACAGCGCAGTTTGCAAAAACGAGTCAACGTTTCTCCATCCACTTCAAGAACGAGGACACGACAAAGAAATTCAAATAATGGTTCATCCAGCAGCAGCTTCAATGGAAGGATGCTCGAGACGGATCATTTCATGCTCTACGTACTCGCACCGACCTCCCGGATGACGTCCGTCATCGACAGAGACGCATGTCACATTTATGGGTGCCGATCGTTCAGTCCTTGAAGAATAACAACAAGTACCAAGCCGACTACAAGATCGGCGCAAACGGGTTCCGCAACGAGTTCTTCATCCGCACATCCGATGACTTATTCATCTTGGCAAAAGGTGAACAGGGCGGGCTTGGCAGGCTGGTGCTCAAGCCCAACAAGAGCGACCTCGCCTTCTGGGGCATTCCCGTAGACCAGATGCAGCAGTGGATTGACGGACGTGGCAGTGCACGCTGATGGTCTCCGACGCCAGCTTCTTCGGCGGCACGCTCCGCGGGGACGACAGCGGACATTGCCACAAACACGGATTCGCGGATCACATGCTCATTTGTTCATGTTCCTCGTCCACGTCGAGCGCCCATTCTTGCTCTTCTGACTCTGTTCGCGATCTGGCTAGCCAGCCAGACGACCCCCATTTTTCGCAGCCGTTGCCGCCTCTGACTGTGCCCGACTGGCCCTGTGGCCAGCATGCATTGCGCCAGCGGCCTTTTCTCCCCACCCCTCGCTTGTTATCGTTTCCTGGAGTGCACCTGGTCTCTCTGGCTCGGCGCGGGCCCGTCGTCAGATGAATGCCTCGATTAGATGCAAGAGATTCCTCGGACTCTTTAAGCGCCGCAAAATTGTTAGCGTTTAGGAGACTCACGGGACTACCGCCGACGCCAACTGCATGCGACAACAATTTCGACATGCGAATGTAGGTTGCGCTATGTTTCAGGACTCCACCAGGGCTGGAGGGCTTGTCACTTTCATCGCTGCTGATCTTGCGCAGCAGTTTTATACCATTCAACACCATGTGATTCAGGAAGGCAGGATGCTAATGGGTGTCATGTTGGGGGACAAAGGGAACTAGGCTATCATGAATGTCCACGTGCCGATCGCGTGCGAGTCGCTAGCAGCCTATGCATCCAGCCTTGACGAGCTACCTGAGGTTTTACCGCCTGCCGGGCAGTGTTTGCAAGTATCTTGGGGGGCTGGAATTTGACATTGGAGGAGGAAGGGGGGGCGTGTCCTGACGGGGCGGGTCGGTCCCGAGGTGGCACGCGTTTCCACGCGCTTTTTGGCCGGAAGTGCTCGTGCTGGATTGAATTCTTTCAAGCAGATGACACTCGTCGGGAGGTGGGGGGCGGGAACATTGCCCACGCTGCGCGTTTAGACCGCATCTGCCCCGACATTCCCGCGGCGGTCGCGGCTGACCTTACTGTTCGTGCTTCAGGTATAGGTCAGCCCTGTCAGGCCCGTGTCTCTGATCATATCCCAGTGTTTGTCGTAATTGACAGTTTCAAGCCCTCCAATGGCCAAAATAGCGGGGTCCCCAACTGGATTAGCAAGCGCGAAGTATATCAATAACTACTTGACACGGAGCTTAACAACAGAGCCGTGGAGTTTCTTTCACTATATGCTGCTGGTGCTCTGAAGGCTGTTAAGGCTATCATGTGCTCAGTGGTCAAGCGCGCGCGACATCTCCTTTTTCAATCAAGTTGCCTCGACATTTATTTTGATGCATCACTGGTGCATGGTAGCCCTGAGGGGGGATACGTGCACAGCAGGGCCACATGGTGTGCAAGGCTGTCAGTTGCTATCCCAAGCTTCAGAGGTTCTTTGCCTGCGAGACCCTACTCTGTCACGACCGCCATGGTCTCTGCGAATTGACGCTGGAGGTTCATGCGAAGATTTTAACTGAGGAGGGGGGGGAGATTGAGAACGATAACAGCATGCACGATGATACCAAGAAGGCTGCATTAGCAAAACTACGGAGGAAGATGGAGCTTTGGAGGAAATTCAGGAGGCGAACCTATCTCACTGCCGTACTAGACGCTAACGGAAGTCCATGTACTACACTCGAGCAGTCGGCCAACGTGTTTGCTGAATATTGGGGAACTGTTTTTTTCGCCAGCTACGGAAGATCGCCCCAGGTTGGCGGACATTCTGAGACATGTTCAGATGGTTCCCGAGGACCTCGGGGTGTCCCGGAAGGTTGAATATGATACTTCTTTTGAACACATACGACACTGCCGTAACTCGATGCCTGGGCCAGACGGCATTCCCTATGCGTGCTGGCGAATTGGAGATGCGCCGAGATACCTTTACATTTTTTTATCTTGAGATTACCAATGGGGGTGTTTCAGAGCTGCCTGACGATATGGGGGAACTACTGGTGGTTTTCCTACCTGAGGGTGGGAACAGGGTGCATTATTCGGGATGCAGCATGCACGCGCCCGCTCTCCATGTCTAACACCGATGTGAAGATCCTCTCTGCTGTGTTCTGCCACCCATTGAATGAGCTCTCTAAAGTGACTGTCGCCCCCATCCAGAAGTGCGTTAGAGGTAGACAAATGCGCGCGAATGTAGTGCAGGCAGAAAGTTGGGGGCTGCAACAAGAGTTGCTCGCGCATGACCCGGCTGCCATTCTCTCGACTGGTTTCTCCGTTGCT